TTAGTTGAAAAAACTGCATTTATGACAAGGCTATGATTTGTCTCATGTAACAGTGGTACAATTGTCCAAAATTAGATAACCAGTCCCTATGTAGTCTGCACCTGAAGCCTTAACTCTTTATTTTGGAACCTCCATTGTGAGGAAGACAGCCACAAACTGTCTACTTCTAAATTTCTGTCACAGGACCCTTTATTGCCTTGTTTTTTTTTTCTTTTCTGCAGAGTTAAGTTTGGACTGAGGGCCTCATATATATTAGGCAAGGACTACTGCTGACCCATCTCCCCAGTTCTTCCCTCACTCCTTATCCCACCACTTGCCTAGAGCTTATGAAACTTTCTGAGTAGCTGCAGGTTCAAACTCAAAACTCCTTTGCTGCTATCTTCAAAGGGGATAGTGGTTTTAAGGCTGTTTCTTTTTTGTTTGTTTGCTTGTTTTTTACTTTTTTTTTTTGTATTTTAGGGAAGGGTCTATAGGGTGTTCAGGGTCTCACTGCTAGATCAGACTTGTAGTGATCCACCTGTTTACAGCCTCCCAAGAGCTGGGATTACAGGTGCGCCACTAAGCCCAGTCTCAAGTGTCATCTCAGTGAGCCCCAGGGGCGGGGCTGGCATGGCAGGCCTGGGGATTGAACCCCAGCCCTGTACCTGCTTGCAGGTGCTTTAACATGCTATTTGGCTGGTCCTTAAGGTTGTTATGCACTTGTTCAAATTGTGTTTTTAAGACTCTACTATCTATCTATTGCAATAACCAAGTTAATTTTTACAGAGAAAGGGAAAAACCATTGTACATATTTTCATACATTTTAAAGATTTACTTTCCTTTGAGTGCTGGGTATTAAACCTAGGGCCTCATGCATGCCAGGCATAAATTTTACCACTCAAACACTCCCAACTATCATTTAATGTTTTTAAGATGGATACTTCATTGTATTACAAGAAAATAAAAACAAGCTGGGTACGGTGGCCAACAGACTGTGATCCTTGCAGACTAGGAAACTGTGGCAGAAGGACTAAGTCCAAGCCCAGCCTGGGCAATTTAAAGACTTAGTGAGAAGTGATCTTGTACCCATCATGTGGGAAAAAAAAGGTAAAACAAATGCAAACTAATACAATATAATTTTAAAGAATATTACTTTATTGAATATGCTTCATTCACAGAAAAATAAGCTTTAATCTACAACAAATGCCAGATTATACAGCAGAAATCAATTTTCTTAGTTTTCCATACTGATAGAAAGGTTCTACTAAACGAAATAAAAGCCATAAAATTATATTCACAAATATAGTACTCTGTCTCAAAACATTTCACATGATTATTCACAATTCTAATACAATGATATAAGAATCAGCTGTTCTGTAATATTAAATTGTCACAGTAATGAAAAATGAAAAATCTAACAGAAATTACATCGAAGTCTGCAATAGCAAATTAAAAATGCAGATTTGTTACTAAGTATAGACAAAATGGTAAGATATACTTACACAGTAATTTTTTTGAGACAGGGTCTTTCTGTAGGGTAGGCTGCCCTTGAACTCCCCATATAGCCCAGGCTGCCCTCAACCTTGTGGTACTCCTGCCTCAGCCACCCAAGTGCTGGGATTATAGACTTTTGCTACCACTCCCGGCTTTTACATAGTAACTTTAAATGTTATATTAAGTGATATACAATAATAATCATGTAGTAAAAGCCAAAGATCTGTATGCATCTCTGCAAACTTCACACTTTAAAATAGAATCATACTACCTAAACATTAATGTAGCATTATCTAATTTGAAGATATATGTATTTAAGATTGTCCTATTGTATCAATTATAAAGTGTCCTTTAGTATGTAGTGAAAGTTAGGGTACTATGGGACAAATATTAAAAAAAAATAAACATTTGAGACTTCCCAGGACAGGAAGGTTAGTGAAAATTTTCACCTTCAAATTATGTTCGTTACTTTCCTTCCGCTATATCTTATAGCTTTGAATAAATTAAGTCTCCCTTGAGCCTCAGTTGCTTGACTTGTAAAATGAAGGGGACGAATCAGATACTCTCTGAAGTCACTTACAGTTCTGGCCCTCTATGATTCTATTATGCTGAGACGGAAATCCACATTGTATTAAGTATATGAGTTAAATTGAAATGGATGGGGGGCTAAGTCAATTTTTTTTAAAGCTAGACTGAGTTTGGTAAGAATAAGTGTTTTGAAAAAGATTTTAAAGAATGTAAATATTTTTAAGAGCTTGACCTATTTACTATAATTTGTATCTTCACTATGAGAAACACCAAAAAGATGAGTAATAATCACCAAGAGTTATTATGTAAGACTTGTTTCCAAGTTTCAGCCCAAATTTCTAGGTCAAGGCAAACCCATGGAAATGCAAAAGAGTATTAGGAGGGGAATTAACATTTATAGCTAATGCTTTAAAGGTATCATCTCCTTGAGCTCTCCTAACCTTGGATGGCAGGTATTACTCTTAGTTCACAGGTGTCTTCATCTGGCTACCTTCTTTTAAACAGCAGATCTGACTAAAAAGAACTGTTTGCCAAACATTCCTCCCCATTTTGAGTTCTCTAATGGCAATGACATACAACTTTCCCATTTCTTCCACTCCCTTCACCTCTTTCCTCAATCACTTGGGTAATCAATAACAAAGTGATTTGGGTCTAAATGAAACAATATATACAACTAACACTACTGTGGTAGACTTCATTCAGAGTTCAAAATACAAATTTTTATCCATTAAGACCAAAACAGGAAAATTACTCAAATTTAAATAATGTAACAAAAACACAACAAAATACCATAATACACATAGCCAAATATGTTCCATACATGTGCTACACTCAGCCCACTCCACCTAAGCCACTGTCCACAGGGAGGAGGGATAAGCTAATCTAGCAGGAAAGGTAATACAAATCCACTAATGAGTAAAGTAGATTGTATTTTATAAATGCTAAAATCATTTCTCAAAGTTTTTGATCAGAACACTAATTATTGCATATAAAGTATTTATTACAAAATAATTTCAACCTTCACATGACTAAAATGTAGTAAAATAGGAGCTAAATTCAAAGTTCTAAAGTGAACTTTATACAAAAAAGAAATGTATACATGTAGCTACTAGAACTATTGCAGGGAGCGGGTAGTGATTTGGATCTGGTTATATTTTGACCTTGCAAGTGATCAATTTTTGTACAATTAAATGGAAAAGATCCAGTGCTTTTTGCAGTGTGAATATAGACAAACTCTGGTAGGCCTCCAAAACATTTGATTAGAATTTGGAGTGCTGAAGCAACAGCATTTTGAAACAATTCTTAAAATAAACTTGTTAGCCACATCAGCTTCATGCACTAAATTTCACAACTCACAGAGAGAGAGAGAGAGAAAAAAGTCTTGCTTAACTCTAAACACACAAGCTTTAAAAGAAGAGCTTTAAACGAACTGAGCTTTCCTTATGTTGAAACAATTCAGTTCAGTCCTTGGCTAACAACTAGATTCTACTGTCTACCTGACTTGGACCAGAAGTGTCCTAGAGAAAATCCACTTTTCTCTCTTTACAGAATGCCTCAAGTGTAAATTTAAAGCTTTGCCTATTCACATCAAATTCAACTTAATGAATATAGAAGCAAACCTAAGTGGAAGACAGTGCAAAGGAGAGCTCAGAATTTACATAAGAATAGTGTAGTCATTGTTTAATTTTTGCAATTCTCATTTAAATTTGGAATGTTTTATATGCGTATCACTTAACAGCAGTTAACAGAGGTTAGGAGAATAATACTCTTTCTCTTGGAAAATATAAGAAAAATATTATTTTTAACACTCATTCTCAAATAGTTCTCTACAGTAAAATGCCCTACTTACTGTTAAATAGGTCTGTGATGAGAATGTAAATTTCAGATATTCTATGAAGCACTGCTAAACTTTCATACTGACTCATATTCAAGTTCTTAAAAATATTTAAAACAACTACTCTTCTGTCACTAGTTTATCATTTCCAAGAGTTTTAAGGATCTTGAGAGCACACTTTTAAAGGTATCTACTACTATTACTAGTCAAGAAAACAACAACAAAAATATAGGTAGAGGAATAACATTTTGTCCTATATACATGTTTACGTTAATCATCTTAACAGTAAAAACTCACATGAAACTTCAAGATACAAGGTGCCATGAGAGTCTCAACATGGAAAGCCGTCACTATAACTACAAGCAAGGTACAAACATGCTTCTACTTTTACCTACATAAGCTGAAAGATGTTTAAAATACTGGGTTAATAAAGATCTTTTAGTAAAGTGACTTAGGCAGGCTTAAACTAGCAAGGATTAAGGATGAATCCTTACTAATTGGAAGATCTGAGACATATTTTATATTTCATTTTACAAAATCAGAAATACTTATTTTGAAACAAGATAAGACATGGTCTACCTGTCAGAAAACTACCACTCAGAAATATTTTTTCATCCACAAAGCAGGTAAAACATACAAACACTTAAATTTTATATTGGCACCAAAAAGGTTAATTGCCCTGCCTTCTTGGATTAGAAAAACTAAAGCTGAGCAATAAGTAGTTTTGCAGGCGTTTGAACATGCCTAAGCCTTTAAATCAGTAAAATACTCTCTAAAAAATTCTGATTACAAAAGTAATACACACTTATAAAAATTTCAAACAGAAAAAAATAAAAAGAAAAACAAAGTGAAGGTCCCTGAAAACCCTCTGGGACCAAACCCCAAAACAAGAAAAACCACATTGAACAATTTGGTGCATATATCTTTCCAAATCTTTCACTCTATTATAGGTACAAAATACACACACCTTGGTTGGCTCATATTATACAGTGTTTGCCACTTGCATTTTACATTTAATATAACACCAATGTCAGTACATCTTGGCTAGATGATATTCTATCATTAAGTACCATTTTAGAAATGGCAAAATCACTTTTTCAAATCACTTACACATTTGTAATTTTAAAGAAAATAGAATCCTAAGACACAAAGACAAATATCTAAAAATATTTTCTATCTTTCCACCAGCGTGGAACATTTCATTCCTTTTTCACACAAAACAAACGTGACTGAAGAGATTAACTATAATCTCCACGTTCATACAGAATGCTCCATTTGTTAAGCCTATCTGAAAAGAATAAAACATTCAGATGATTAATTCACTTACATTTTAGAAGCTAAGTCAGCGTACTACAAATACACAGTACGAGCAGTTATAGTATGATCCTTTTTAGTCTAGTTTCAATCGAATAACAATGAAAAAATTGGGTAAATGATAGCAGTTAATAACTTGAAAAATCTAGAAATTCAAGGCTTAGATCGCCAACTACAACACTGCTGTTTATATTTTTTTCTAGTTGGCAGCAAATGCTGATGGAATTCAATGCTGATTGCTTACAGTTCCTTCACATCACACATTCAGTCAGGATAATAAAGAGAACATTTTTTTTTAAAGAGGAGAACATAACATGCTTATTATAGACTGAGATTAAGACATAAAAATTTTTTGCTTGAAAGTAATGATTGTGTAGCACATGGGACATTTGTCAACTGCTTCAGCACACTCTTTACAAGTGACCAGATGTCCACAAGGAATAAAAACCACGGCAATATTTCTATCCATACAGATTTTGCAAAGCTTCTCTTCTTGTAGGCGCCTTAGTTGCTCCTCAGTACTAATCTCTGCAGAAGGAGAAAAGAAATACACTAGGTTTAGATGTTCTTAGTTGTTAAAATTCTCTGCAACATTACTGAACCCCCGCTGTGCACCAGGCACTGAGTGCTAGCAGATATGAGGGTGACTCACACACGGAATGTGTTCCTAAGTGGCTATTGGGAAGGGACGTGAGAACAGGCCATAGAGGTAAGCACAAAGTACACAGTGATAAGTGCTCTAATAAAGTTCCATACAAAGTGCTTTGGGATGAGATGAACAAGTTCTTCTCTTCAGGCTAGTGGAGGAAAGCTTCATGGAGGAGAAGAACAATGGAGAAGTGACAGTTAAGCATGGATAGGAATTTGTTACCAAAAAAGCAAAGGTTAAGGTAAAAGAAGCATATGAACTGCAGGCATGGTGGGGCAACTCCTGTAATCCGAGCACTTGGGAGCCCGAGGTAGGAGGATCACTGTGAGTTCGAGACCAGCTTGGGCTACAAGGTGAGGTCAAGGCCGGCCTGAACTGCACAGTGAGACCCTGTCACAAAAGACAGACCGACAGACAGAGGAAAAGCAAAGCAAAGCAAAGCAGCATATGGAAAGGGTGCTTCTCATTCTAGAAAGGCATAAATTTGAGGGACACTTTGGCAGTGCAACAAGCAGGATTCCATGTTTGGATGTGAGCACTGAGGAAGAAAGAGGAACTAAAACTGACTTCAAGATTGCTAGTGAGCTGACAAGAAGATGGTGATGATGATAGGGAGTTCAAAATGAGGTACAGCTCTGGGATATTTTTCAGGTATTTTTGAGGTGTTTACTGGGCATACTAACAAAAATATCCAGGAGGCAAATGAAGTCAAATGTTGAGGTCAGAAGACTCTGTAGAGATAACAGATTGGAACGTTATCAACAGATAGGTGACACTGTTGTACTGGCTTGATTTAGCCTTTCCCAAAATAGGTTTTGTGAAATGCTAACAAGCCATAACAATGTGTTTGATGGTCATATATGTATGAAACAGATGCAGCAGTCAATAATATTAGAGCATAAGTACCATGTGCTTGGTACTACTCCAAATGCAGTACATTTTAACTTTTTAAAAATTTTTTATTTATGTATTTGGCAGAGTCTTGTTATGCAGCTTGGATTCATAGTGATCCTCCTATCTTAGCCTCCCCAGTGCTGTGATTACAGGCATGCACCACCATGTTCGGTTTCAGTGGCCAGCATCACACACCTAGGGTTCTGGGGCAGGCACAACATGCAGTGATGGGGATTGAACCTGGGTCCTTGCGCTTGCTAGGCAGGTGCTTATACCACCAAGCTATCTCTCCAGCCCCAATGTAAAATGCATCACATATTTAACTATCTTTGTAAACCACTGTATACTAAAGTCTTCTACCCTCTTGTGAGAAGTTGAAAGAGTAAATAAGATCTAAAATGTATAGTAGATATTGTGAAATGGGAAGAAACTTAAAAGGAAAGAGAAATGGATGGGGAATGGAGAAAAGGAAAAAATATATATATATAGTATATAAACACACAAGATTATTATGAAGATAGTTATACTACTAATTTCTTTTAGTTCACTGAAAAGAAATATTTGTGCTAGTTAATATTGTTTGGACAATTAAATGCTGATATCTTATACTCTGAGTAACTAATTTAAAGATAATAATATGCAATGCATTAACCATTGTTATCCTATTATCTTGTCTTGAATTTTTTTTTTTTTAATATTTTCTTTTTTTTTTTAATTTTATTTATTTGTGTGTGTGTGTGTGTGTGTGTGTGTGTGTGTGGCCAGCTCAGCCCACCAGGGGGCAGGGCGGGCTGGCATGTGGTGCTGGGGGATTGAACCGCGGCGGTCGCTGTACTTTGCTAAGCTTGTTCTAAGTAGGTGCTTTAGACCACTGAGCCATCTCACCAGCCCCTGAATTTTTTTCTTTAAAATAAAAAAAACTTTAAAAAGTAAGGTTTTCCAAATTACTTTAAAGTGTGATTGGGGCTAGGGGTTTTTCCTCAGGCTAGCCTTAAACCTGCAAAGATCCTCCTGCCTCAGCCTCCAGGGTACACTGGGATTGTAGGCGTGTGTGCCATGCTCAGTGCTGAGACATGTTTAATAGAAGATTTCTTGGCCACTTTTCACTAAATCTAAAATTTCTTGCATCAAGCACATTGGCATTTGGAACATATTGCCATTGAGTACAGTGCATTATGTACAATGTGTGTCTCGTCTTGAAATATAGAATACATTTCCCTATCTAACTATGGATCTCATATTTTGTGGCATCTCTTGGGGAACACTATTCTCAAACATGTTTGGGAAACATAGTTTAGTTATATTCAACAAATACTAAACACTTTAACTAGGTTCTAGGCAGTAGGGATACAACTAACAAACCTATAGACATCATTCAGGCCCCTAGTAGTTCTTAGACCAAAAAAAAAGTTTGTAGACTAATTAGGAACGCAAGTAAACAAGAAATTATAATATGTGAAGATGATAAAGGCAGTTAGAATGTGTTATGTGATATGTATACACCATGGAATACTATTCGATCATAAGAATGAAGTAACATTATCTACAGGAAGAATGAATCTGGAGACTAATATTAAGTTAAATAAGTCACTCACAGAAAATTAAATATAACTGCATGGTTTCTCTCACACGAGAAACAAACAAAAAAAAGGTCAGGTAAAAGAGAGGTGGCAGGAGACCGGGAGGCAGACTTTTTGTTTTTGGTTTTTTTTTTTAATTTTTTATTTGTGTGTGTGTGTGTGTGTGTGTGTGTCCTGCTCAGCCCACCAGGGGGCGGGGCTGGCTGGCATGTGGTGCTGGGGGATTGAACCGCAGTCCTTGTGCTTTGCTAAGCTTGTTCTAAGTAGGTGCTCTAGACCACTGAGCCATCTCACCAGCCTGACTTTTTGGAAAGAGGAACAGGGGATCAGAGAAATGGTGGTAAAATGGTAGAAAGGAGGATATACAGGGAACACAAATAATCAAGAAATGACATACAAGGGGCCAGGGAGATAGCTCAGTTGAATAAGTGCTTGCCTGGCAAGCATAAAGGCCTGAGTTCAATTCCCAGTTCTGCCCCTCCCAAAGTAAATATAAGATACATTTGGGCTGAGGAGATAGCTCAGTAGAATAAGCACTTGCTTGACAAGCAGAGGTCCTGAGTTCAATCCCCAGGACCGCAAAAAAAAAAAAAAAAAAAAAGACATACATATGTACCAATCCCCCAAAGTGACTATAACTATTATGCATCACAAAAATGCTAATAAAAATAAGAAACTTTTTGGGTATAATAAAAGCTATAGACTTGAGCTGGGGATATTGCTTGGTGCGGTGTTCAATCCTCAGCACCAAGCCAAAACCAAAAAATGTTCTAAACGTTGGTCATTCCACAGTATATTCATTTTATTTATTTATTTATTTATTTATTTATTTATTTATTTATTTATTTATTTTGCAGAACTGGGGATTGAACTCAGGCCATTGCACTTGCCAGAGAAGCACTTATTCTACTGAGCCATCTCCCCGGCCCACCACAGTATATTCAATAACATACAACTAATGTTACTGAATTGTACACTTAACAAAGGTAAAATATTTCTGTGGTGCTGGGGATGGAGCCAGGGCCTTCTGCTAGGTAGGTAAGTGCTCTACCACTCAGTTCTAATTCTAGCCCTGAGATGTGAAAAGGTTGTATGTGTATTTTGCCGTAACTTAAAAAGAATCTAATTCTTCCAAAATAATGAACATTCCCATCACCTGAGGAATGGTTGAGAAAGATGTGGTATTTTTACACAATGGAGTATTATTCAGCTATTAAGAATGATAAACTCAAAGCCTTTATATTGAAGTGGATGTCACTTGAACATATACTCATAAGTGAAATAAACCAGACACGCATGTAAATATCGTATAGTTTCCCTAGTATAAGAACTCAAAAGAAGAAATACAAATAGAAAGGTATAATACAAGTAAAAGGAAAGCAGG